ATATGTATCTAAATTTAAAATAAAAATATTTAGTTAATTATAAATCATCTAAATAGTCCTCCTTTTTTCTTTTGATTCATTTAGTTTACTATAGCTTAGAGTTTTTATCTTTCTTAATCTGTAAGTTCAAGCATGTTAGCTATAATTTTAAAGTAACCTTCCGTTTCCTAAGCCCTTAAAAATTTAAAATAATATTTACTAATTTTATAGTGAAGTAAGAAAAGATTAAAGTAATTATTTTATTTGTAATTTTAAAGATTTTGTATCTGTTTAATCTATTATTTATTATAGTCTATAATTTTCCCTTTTTAAATCAGATATCATTTTAACCATTTTTTTTTCTTCTTCCTAATAATCAATTAAATTGTTTTTGTACTTCTCTATTTCCATTTTATGATATTCTATTTCTTATTATAAATCATAAAATTTTGTATTATTATTTTCATTTTATTATTATAATTATTATGCTAGTTAATTTTAAAAATCTTTTATTTATAAACTACTTTTTGTATGTCCACTTTATACAGTAGGATCTATTATTGTAGCATTATTAATGGAGCTATGCTCAAATTTTCTTATCTCTTAGTTATCTATTGAACTTAGGTCAAGACTTATACCACTTTCATTAAATTTTTATTCTTACAATTACTTTAAATTTTTAATTTATAATAGTAGATTTTGATTTTCAAGAGAAGCTTTCTCAAATTATTCATTTTTCTATTTTAGTTCTTACTATAATTAATCCCTTTCTTATGTTGCATTATTAAATAAAACTTTAAAATGAGCCATCAGATCAGGATTATCATTATTAATTGTCAAAGTTTATGAAAACATTTCATCATATTATTATTATTATAATAGTAATTATCTTTTTAACCTTTATATTTCTTGTTCATTAACTGATTCTTTTTCTTCAATTTTCTCTTACAAATTCTAAATTTTTTTTTAAAGTTTCTTTAATTATTCAATACAAAAATCTTTTGTATTTTTAATCGTATCTCCAATTTCTCTACTAATTATTGGGTAATCTTTAATAATTTTCTGCATTGATTCCATTTTATTATTTTATTTTTAAAATTTTATATCTTTTTTCATCATTGTTTCTTCACAATCCTTTAATTTTTTCCTCAAAATTTCATTATCATTTTGAATTTAGTTTATTTTTTTTCCTTTTTCTTCTAATAATAAATTTTAATTATAGACATTCTCTTTCAAATTTCTAATGGACTCTTCTTTTTCAGAACAATAAACTTAAAATCTTTAAGCTTAATCTTTAAGATTTTCATTTTTATCATTAAGATCCTCAATGTTATTATTTAAATTATCTATTTCTTATTGATTTCTTCTCTGTGATAATTAAAGTTATTATATTTCTTCATCTTTTGACGAAAGCTTATCTAGTATTTATTAACTAAATTATTTCTCTTTAATTAATTACTATTCATGCTTTTACAACTTTAAATATATATCTTAAGTTTTAATTTCTTAACCAGATAATAAATTTCTATTTTATTCTTTAAGTGATTGAATTTACTCTTGTTAATGATCTATTGTGACTTAAAAGCTTGCCTGTATTTCATTAATCATAGTTTACTATTTCTGTTTCTATTATTCTAACTATTAGATCTCATTCTTTAGTATTGGTATTAACTTACATTTTTCATTTGATTAATCTATTGCACTATTTTTTTCTTATATTTGACCTTAATATAATAAATTTTAACTTTCTAATCTTTATATTTCTTCTTTTAATTCTTAATTTACTTATTATTATGATTATAATTTTTAATTAGTATCTTATAATTGATTTTTTACTTCATTTTTATCTTATGATAAAGATTGAATTTCTTGTTTTCTACTTTCATCTGTAAGAAGCATATTTTCTTACTAAGATGTTAGTTCTTAAATTTTATCTTTAAAACCTTTCACTAAGGCATCTAAAGATTATTATTATTAATTCAGAAATTTTTAGATTTATGGACCCATCTTTACTTATCCGTTTATTGTATCATCAAGCTTTTAATGCTCTAATTTAAGCTCAGCTAACTAATTTTTTATTAGAAATAACTTTTTTATCTTTTTTATTAATATTGCTTTATAGGTGTCATTAAAATTTACAAACTATGTTTAAATAAATTTAAATGAGACTTGCTATTATCTTTTGTATTTAATAAACTCTAGTTTTATAAAACTTAATTTTTTTTTTACATTTTCTATTCTTAACTTTGAATTTACTTACTATGAGGATAATTCAGTCTCTAGATTTTCTATTTTTTATAAGTATTTAAATTCTTCATCTTTTACAAAGCTTTCAAATTTCTATTGTCTTTATTGCTGTTATTCTAATTTTTATTTCAAATCCTTTATTATATCTTTTCCCTCATTTAACTAATTTTTCAATAAGTCTCTGTCTTCATTTAATTACGAAATTTACATTTCTTAAAGATTAAGTTAAGTATTTTTGGAAATTATATCTGATTCCAATAAAATTTTCTCTTCTTTCAATTTAAATTATTATTATTACAATTATTTTAATTCTTCTTACATTAATTATTCATTTTAATTTCTTTATATTATCTCTTCTTTATTATTCTCAACCAAAGAAATAAGTCTATTCTTTTCTGATTAAGAAACAAACAAACGATCGTCCAGTTCTACTTTTTTTTTTTAAATTTCTTAAAATTCTAATTCTTAACTCTATATTCTTTAAGTTAATTAATCAATAGTATTTTCAAATTCCTGCAATTTTTATTGATTTTCATCTAATTTTTATTTAGCCTACTATATTTAGTTTTGTAATTCTACACATAATTTCATTTTATCATTCAATTAAATAATTTTTTCTTATTATTCTTTTATTTCTTCTTCCTAAGCCGTTAATTTTATCTCTTTTTCTGCTATTAGCAAATCCTTTTTTTTTTGTTCATCACTATTATTTTATAGTGCTGAACTCAATTGTATTAAATTGCTTTATAATTACATATTTTCTTGTTTTAACTTTTCAAGGGCATCCTAATATCCTTTTATTTTATCTTTATTTTATTATTTTTATAATTCATAAACATTTTAATTTTGCTCTAAAGATTATAATTTTGATTAGAAGTCATTCTTTTAAGTTTCAACATCGTTATAATAATTATCAAGTTATTGATTCTTTTCGCTTAATTCCTCTTCAACCTATTCTTTTTCATCTTAAAGTTAAACTATTTACTTTTATAGAATCTCAACTAAATTTTATGCCTCTTAGTTTTCATTATTTAATTCCTAAATTTTTTGATTATGTTTTTACTCTAATTAACTAATTATTACTCTTTTATTTGATTCTGCTAAATTTGCTTCTTTCAATTGATTTTGCAATTTTAGATTATCTTCTTAATTTAATAGAATTTATTATTTTAGCATGTCTACTTCTTCAATAAGTGATTAAGTTTAAATCAATCTATTTTTTAATTCAAATTAATTTTAGGCGTTTTCTTCTATCTAATTATTAAACTCTTCCTGTAAAGTCTAATCATGTGATTATATATTATGATAATTATATTCTAATTAAATAATTTAATTTTTCAACTAATTGATTTCTGAAATTTTATATTGGTTATCTTATTTAAGTTGGGCTATTAGCATCTAATGTTATTATTCCTAAATATGTAGTTTTTAATTTCCATCATACTTTTACTATTCATTCTAAAATTGTAAATTTAAATTTTCTATTTAAGATTTTTGTTCTTCATTCTTAATCAACAATTATTATATTTTTTAATCTTTTTCATTATTTTATAAATAAGCCTCTTCAATCTAAGCTTTTTACATTTGTAAATTTCGTTATAATTCCTAGACATTCAAATTCAATTAATTGATTTGATTTTTATCTGATTATTTTTACTTCTCTGACTCAGATAAATTGATATTTAAATTCTCAATCAATTACTTATGTTTTGATATTTAAACTTCATATTACTAAATTTTATTGTTTTATTATTAAATATTTAATTGTAATTACTTTTCATTTTCTAAAGTATTTTCATTAATTTTTTAAACTAATTCATTTTATAATGATTAAATTTAATCAGATTAAGTCTAATTTTAACTTTTTTCAGCCAATAATGCCTCATTTAATTTTTTATTTTCTAATTGTAAATTTTGTAATTATTGATCTTTTTCTTCTATTATATTTTGTTATTTTTATTTTTAATTTTAGATTTCATTAAATCTTTATGAATTTTATTTTTCGCTTTCTCTTAAATTATCAACAATTTCATTTAATTAAGTAAGACTTTAGGCTTGACTTTGATTTAAAAATTTTATCATTTTTTATTCCTAAAGTTATTCAATTAGCTTTTATTCCAAAAACTAAATTTTAAGCTTCAGATCCTCTGTAGATTAAACATATTCATCCAATTATTGTTCTTTCCAATCTATTTCTTATTCAAGTTTTCTATTTTAAGTATTTAATTTTATGTTATTTTCTTACTCTTATTCGAGTTAGGATTTTAAATTTTAAATTGTAATTCCTTAATTTTAAGTGAAATTTTTTTAAGTTTCTAAGGTTTCACATATATTTTTGTTATTAATTTCAAATTCCTATATCTTCTCTTTTAATATTGAATTCTCTTTTTGAAGTATTTATGATTTAACTTAAAGATTTTAAATATTAACTTAATTTTATTCTATAGTTTCTTATGCTTATTCTAATAACAATTTTTGATTATAATTTTAGGATTACTATGTTTCATTCAAATTAGGTAAATCTTTATTTTTTAAGTCTGATTATTATTCACTATTTTGGCTGCAAAATAAATTAATTTAATCATATTATTATGTTTATAATTAAGCTAAATTTTAATCTTTAGAATTTATTTATTCTTATAGCATTTAATTTTCTTAGAGAGTAATTTCATAGTCATTGTTCAGATCCTTCAATTAGCTTTTAAGTCTTTTATTATCATTATCAAGATTTTCTAATTCTTCTTTCTAACTTTCTAAATCTAATTACTATTCAAATATTTATTTTTTAAGTTTATCATTGATTAATTACTCTTCCTATAATTTCTCATTAAGGACATTTATAGATACTTAATTTTTCTTAGCCTCATCAAATTATTCTTGTAAGGTGTTTTTTTCTTGCAATGTCTTACTAAACTCTGATTTTATTTTAGTTAATTCTTATTATGTAGATTATAATGTTTCACATTATTATTTTAATAGTTAATTATCTGTTTTAAGTTTTGTTGATTCTGTCTATTATTGTTTATTTAAATCTTTTTATCTATTTAAATCTAATTATATTTATTTATTTTATGTTTTGAGAGCTTCTGTCTCTTATTAAAGTTTCTGGGTTAGTAATTTTTCCTAATCATATTTAGTAGATTTTGTTTAGGCTAATTATTTTTACATTTTCAAATCATCTTCTTTTTATTTTAATGAAGAATTGGTTTAATTTAATTTTTATTTGATTTCATTTAATTCAATTTCTTTTATATTGTTTTGTTCAATTGCTATACTTAAAGTTTATTGTTATGTTTTACATTATTATTGAATTTGAATTAACTGAGATTCTAATAAAGAAATTTGCTATTATTAACGGTCTATTATTGCTTAATTTTAGTTCGTATTTTCGAAGTTTTAATTTGTAATTTCAATTGTTTAGTTTAAGTTATCAATTAATCCTTATAGTTTTTACATTTCATATTAATGTTCATCCTGATTTGTTTATAATTGTTCTTATAAACTAGTATTTTATTGTTACATTTCAAATAATTAATGATTAACATTATTTAATTCTTAAACTAAACTATTAATTTAAGATGAATAATCCTCTTTCTAATTATTTATAATATTTATTGATTTTAGGCGAATTTATTAAATAGTATTTAGTAAATATTATTTCAGCAATCCCAAAGAATTTACAATTTGTTATTTTATTATTGGAAAATTATTTTCTCCATCCATCACTTGCTTAAAAAATTGACGATGTTTATTTAGTTATTATTGTTAAGGATTAAATAACTATTAAACCTAAGTTCTTTCTGTAAAAGATTATTCTTAGCTTAACTCTTATACTATTTCTTATTCATATTCTTAGATGTTTTATGATGGTTAGGTTTTTTATTTTAATGAGCTCATTAAAATTTATTCTAACTCATTAAGTTGCGATATATCATAATGACCCATCATTTTAATATTTTGTAATTCTATCTTCATTTTTTTTAATTCTTATACTAAATTTTTTAGGGTTTTAAATGATTTTTGTTTTATGTAATTATTTTAATCCTCTAACTCTGCAATTTAATTTTATAATTAATTAAATTATTCTATTACTTAACGATATTACTATTCATTTTATTATTATTTTTTTAAAGTTTCTTCAAGATGCTTTTACTCCAATTATTATTAAATTTGATTAATTTCTTTTTATTTTTATAGAATTATTCTATTACTATATTCTTCTTGTTAAGCTAACTACAATTTATAATTTTATATTTCTTTATTCAATAATTGAATTTATTTTGAATATTCGAGAGCCGCACCATTTACATGTCTAGCCTATTCATCTAGATCTTTGTATTTTTTTTCTTGTTCACTAATTCTTGATTACAAAAATTAATTGTGTGATTTTGAATCGTTCAACAGTTTTTGATTGTCCATAAGTTTTATCAATTAATTATTTAGCTTTTCAATCATACTATTCTTAAGTTAAATTTCTTAAATATGTAGTTGCTCATCATTTTGGATTTTTTCACAAAGAAATTTTAATTGAGGTTCTAAATCAGATCTTTAATTCTTGATCTGATTTTAAATATCTTCTTTTTCTTTTTTTATTGATTCTTTTTCTTAATTTAATTATTAAATAGTCTTCTTTTATTCTTCAACCTTAGATTATTTAGATCTATACTTTTTTTGCTAATTAATCATCATATCCATTCTTTTCTAAAAGTTTTTTATACTTTTTAACTTTATCTTCCAAAGTCTAGAATTATTTTTCCATGTAAAGTGCATAATCAATAACAGATTTTTCTTGACTTTTATTCTCTTCTATTTACTCTCCACTTTTTTGTTTCTCTCTAGCTTTTTTAAGTTCATCTTCTTTATGTTTAAGAGTCGATAAAAGTTCCTTAATATGTTTTTTAAGGGCTTAATTTTTAGAATTCAATTCATCTGTGCCTAATTTCAATTCTTTAAAACTTAAATTTAAAAAGTTGAGCTTAAATATATCAATAATTTATATACATCTTCAACTAATTGTTTATTTTTTTCTGCCAATTATTGTATTTCTATTTATGAAGCTGATAAATTTTTAGGTTTGGAAGGTGATGTTTCTCTTGATCTATAGTCTGATTGTAATTGTGTCAATAACTCTTGATTTCTCATATTAACTGTTTCGAGGAGATTATTCAATTTATGTAGTCCTTGAGTCTTCATTTAATTTTAATAATAAAAATATATTTTCCAAGATCATAATAATTTAATGTAAATTATGTAAAGGTTTCAAATATAAATTATGTATACAAAAAATGAATTCTTTTGAATGAGTTGAGAGATATAAGTAATAGGAAGTAAATATTAATTATAAAATGATTGAAAAAAATTGCAGAAAATCATTAGATGGATGATAATAAGAATGATGGAAAATTAAATAAAATTAATTAAAGAGATCTCTATAGTTCCAATAAAAACGGATTATTAATATTAAAATGTACAAAGAAATGTTTATGGTGTTGCTGTTGGTCAACTTGTCATTATAATTTAAGACTGCGGTTAAAACATAAATAACTCCATTGGAAACAATATTAGGAATAGATCCTTCTGGATGGACATGTGAAAATCCACCATATAAAGAGTAATTGAGAGCTGAACATGATATAGAATAATGGATCGATATAGTGAAACATAAGGATGGTTTTGATGGTGATTTGTAAGTATTAGCAATGGTAAAAGCACTAGTGGATAAAGTATTAGCTTCAGTATAACATATTTCTGGAAGTACTTTTGTGTAGGTGAAACATATACATCATCAATTATCGAAACACTTTAAAAAGTTATCAGAGATAGAGTCATTGTCATCGTGGAATGATATTAATGATATTTTGGGTTATGTTGAAGTATTGAATAAAGCAAAAAGTAATAAATTTGAAAATAATAAATTAGGTGATGAAGATAAGTTATAATTAGCAACTATGATTGCAGGAAAGATATCAGAATTAATTTAATAAATAACAGAGATCTAATTATAATTGAATTCAATACCTGTAGAGATAGATGATTTGTATGAGTTATCAACAAGAGTAAATCAAAAAACTTTAGCATGTAAAGATGTGTGGGCACCTTTTTTGGAAGCAGATGAAAAAGCTGAAGAGGAAAAATAAAGAGTGGAATAAGAATAGGAAGCAGCAAGAGTATAAGCAGAGGAAGAGGCAAAATAAAGAGAAGAATAAGCAATAGAGGAGGAAAGAAGAAAGGAGGAAGAAGCTAGGGAATTATAAGAGTTGAAAAATAGTGTAGAACTTACACCTGAAGAAGCTGAAGCTTTAGAATAAGAAGCTGAACAAGAATTATAATTAGCTGAAGAAGCAGAAATTTAAGCATAGTAAGAATTAGAAAAAGCATAGATTACTGAAAAAGAGGCAGAATAAGAAGCAGAAAAAGAAGAAGAAGAAGCTAAAGAAGCTGCATAAAGAGCAGAAGCTGCTGAATAAGCTTTGTAAGAGGCGTAAAGAATAGAGGAAGAAGCATGTGTAGATGCAGAGGAAGCAGAAAGAAGATTAAAAGCTGCTTAAGAGGCTGCAGAAGAGGCAAGAAAAAAAGTAGAAGAAGCAGAAAGATTAGCAGAAGAAGCTAGAAAAACTCAGGAATGTTTAGATGAACCTCCTCTTGATGAACCATTTCATGAAGAATTTTATGAAGAAGAATATGAATATTTTTCTGAAGAAGAAGGATGTACTGATGAAGCATTAGAAGATTTAATTGATACTTTAATTGATGCAGCTAATGGACCTAGTGCTTATTAAACAGGATGTGGGTATCCTGGATGTTAAGACTAACCAATTATTATTGTTGTCGAAGATGATGAAGATGAACCATAACCTGAACCATAACCTCAACCTGAACCAAAATAAGAAGAAGAAAACTTAGTAGAGGAAGAAATAGAAACTGAACCTACTCCAGATGATGATAAAACATTTGAAGAAGAATAAGAGGCTGAAGAGGAAATTACAGTTGAAGAAATTGTTGAAGAAGAAATTATTGTAGAAGAAATTTTAGTAGAGGAAGAAGAAGAAGATGATGATGATTTTGGTAGATTAGAATATCCAGTTGATCCTCCTGAAGAAATACAATATCTTCTCTATAAATCTGATGATAAACATGTTAATATACATACTTAAGAATCATCTAAATGGGAAGTTGAAGTTAATCATGGATCTGATACCAGAATTAAGGGATCAACGGAATATAGTTATGGATTATGGACATATTTTAGATATAATGGTGCTATTAAAATTTCAGAGAAAAAAGATGTATTAGTAGTAGGAGGTTTAAGTGGAGATGGATCAAGCAGACTTTTGACGCTTATTGGAGAAGGATTTTATAACTTCTAAATATTTGATGGTGATACTACTACAGAATAATAAGTAGATTATGGTAAATATTTGGATGCTGAGTGGATTTATGTTTACTTTGGATATAAAGAAGGAAAAGCAAATGGTTATGTCTATTGGCAAGAACTTAAACTATCAAGAGTGTCACTTTTACAATCACTTATTAATCTATTCTTAATACTATCAAATTTTCATCAGGTTGGTGGTCAAGCTACAAAGCTTTCAATGGAATCATTACTCATATCAGAGTTGTCTTAAATAAGGATTCTTTTATTGAGGATGAGATTATTATGAAGAATGCAATCGAGTCTGAATATCCTGTTCCAAGTGAAACAGATTTAGATTATTTGGAAAATTAATATTATGAAAAAATTGAATATGAGGGATTAATAACAGAACCTAAATTACATTGGGACTTAGATAGATATAGAGAATATTCTTTTTCTACTTGGTTTAGATATGATTGACATCTAATGAGCCTGATTCTGGAGAAGTTGCTCATGGACATAATGTGCTTTCCTTATATTAAACTGATACCATTGAGTATTTATTCAAAACTTATACAGTTGAGAATTTAGATAAATTTAGCAATATTGTTGAAAGTGTCAAAATAAATTAAGAATCTTAGTAATTATGGACATATGTATATTTTGGATATAATAATGAAGATTTACAATTTTATATTGAATGGCCAGATAGTTCTGGTACCAAACAATTTAAGGGATGGCATATTGTTGCTAAATATTGGGCATTGTACCTAGGTTAAGATTCTAAGTATACATTCCAAGGCAAAACAGCTTATTCAAATTTACGATTTGGAAAAGGTTCTTGGGGAATTTAAACTGAATTTGAAGAATATAAAATTGGAAAGAGTAAATTATGGCCAGGTGTATAAATGAAAACATATGATTCTAAATGGATAACTCATACTGAAGAATCAGAATATGATAGTTTATTACATGAAGAATCTGAATGGGTTACTGACGGTATATATGAATATGGCTTTGGAATGTGGACAAAATTCTTTATTACCAATCCTTCTCGTATTTATGAGAAACCAGATCGTATTTTGATAGCCAGATTAGGGTTTAGTGATTCAGATTAGGCTGAATTTGCCGTTTATATTGGAAGAGGTGATTATGAATTCTGGGCTGGATCAATGAGACCTGTTTAATATGCTAAAAATTTGGATGGATATTGGAACTACATTTATTTCAGTTATTCAAAATTATAATAAATTGCTGTTGGCTATGTTAATTTTCTAAAATAGTTATAAATACAAAGAACAAAATTCGATCCATTTGATGCAGATCCTGCAAATAATTATGCTCGTTTTTATGTAGGAAATTGGAAAAACAATTAATTTGGTTTTAATGGTAGAATGGTATCTGCTGTAGTTCGCATGGGAAGAGGTTCATTTATTAATGAGATTGAGGAATTCTAAACTTGGATGGAGCTTTATAAAGTTCCTGTTGATGATGAATTAGGAACTAAAGATCATGAAATTTAAGGAGCAGAAAATAAAGATACTGAAACATATGAAACTTTTATTTATGAACATGAGGCAATTGAAACTGAATAATATTCAGTTTATGGATGGTTCAAATATTGTGGTGATTTGTCTAATAGTGATGCCTAGACAATAATTAGATTAACAAATAATGAAGTTGATCATTTAAGCGATGCTTCAATTTTAGGAGATAGAACAATAACAGCAATTTAATAAGGAGGAAATATGATATTTGGCACATATGATATTGGATTTATAGATAAAGATTATGAAGTAAATAGACAAACAGAAGTTGAACTTGGAGAATATAGAGGAATTTGGATGTATATTTGGGTTGGATATTCAAGATTTGATTAACAAACAGGTTGGTTTTTAGGATTTCCTGATATAAGTAAAGGTGGTGTGATAAAAAAGACAATGCATTTTTCACCTAAATATTTAGCTGTTTATTTAGGAAAAGATGGAATCAATAAGAAATTTATAGGAAAATCAAGGCATGTTCATGCTTGTTATGGTACTACTTAATGTTGGTATTTTGTAAATAAGGTTGAAACAGAAGAGAGTTTACCAGCTTGGATTCCTTATAAATTGAATAATTAATTTGAATTTTTTATATAAAAAGATGATGATGCACTAATTGTAGCTTAAAATGATAATGCAGCTATAGATGTAGAAATTACAGAGAGTAATTACCCTGGTTCAGATATTGAAGCTATATTTGAATATGGTATAGGAATATGGACAAGATGGCTCATGAATTATCCATTTTTCTTATTAGAAAAAGCTGATTCACATTCAATTTTCAGATTTACTACTAATGCATAATATGAAGATGCTGAATAAAATGGAGATAGAACTGTTTCAGCATTTGTAGGAAGAGGAGAATATAAGTTTAGTACATATGATGCTGTTCTTAATAAAAATGATATAAGTACAGGCAGTAAATTTGATAAAGAATTGGAAGGATATTGGAATTTCATTTATTTTTGTTATAAAAGAATTCCTACTAATCCTAAAGCAATTGGATATGTGTTCTTATCAAATGTTAATGTAGTAAAGAGAATAGAGATAGATAATGCTAAACATTGGTTATTAAGAAATTATGCTAGATTGGTTGTAGGTAAAAAAGAATTTGGGCATTCTGCATTCTAAGGAAAATTGTTTGATCCAAGAGTATTTTTAGGAAAGGGTAGTTATATAGAAACAAGTGAAGATTTGATCAACAATTTGATTCCAAAATTTAGAGCTTATCCACCTTATAAAGAGAAATAAGATAATGAGCCTGTTTAAGTTGAGAAAGCAAAGATTACTGAGAGAGTATTCAAATCATATGAAGAAAAATATAGTGGAGTATTTGAATATAGTGTTTATGGATTTGCTAAAGGAAATAAATTAAGAAATATTACAGAATGGACTACTCTTGTTAGAGTAACATAAAATACACCAGACATTTAAAAAGACAATGAGAATGCTGGAGATAGAACACTTACAATATTTGCTGATAAAGGTAAATGGATTTATAGTACTTATGATTATGGAGATCTTGAAGTTGTTGATGATGATGATGGATCAAGTAATTAATTATTTATATATTTATAGTAATACATGAATTTGATATGAATAAATAATGGGGTAAATGGACTTATTTCTATTTTGCTTACTCATTTAAATTGAAATAAGCATATGCTTATATTAGATTTATTGATTAGAGTGAGAACTCCTTTTTATTTGAAGATATTTATCATTTTGTTCCTCATTATTTGAGTGTCTTCTTTGCAGAAGATGGTTATGGCAAAATGTTTGATGTAATCAATAATTTAATATTTATTTTAGGGTGAAGCATTTGATTGGTATTTGGGAATTGGAGATGGAGCATTCACTACAACACCAAATCCAAAATAATGGCCAGTTGATCCTGCTCCTCCACCTGATAGAATTCTATCAGCTTTATTAGCTAATTAAGGATTTAATTCAGGAAGAATAGTCAAATCTTAAACCTTCTTATAATTAGATGAGACTGTTAATCTAGTTGAGATTAAATAAGAAGAATGATTTATTTTATTTGATTTTTCAATTTATTTTAAAAATATTATTAATAATTGTTTTATATCATCTCTTAAATTTATATTATTGATTTACAAATACAATTTAATTGTAAACTTCTTACAAATTCTCTGGATTAAATACTATTAATACATTATAAAATTTTAAACAAATTATAAATCTTTCTTTTTATTAACCTAATCTATAATATCATCTTTTAATAATCCTAAAATATAAAACTAATTTTGGGAATAATTAATATAGAAATGATAAATTTAAGCTAACACCTAAAGACACCTATCCTTAGAATAATATGTATCTATCATCATCATATGAAATAATTATTATATTTTTAAAGATTTCTATGGAGTCATTTTAACAAGTTGATATTAATTAAATTTAAAAAATAATTATAGAATGATTCTAGAACTTACTAAATTAAATGATTGGCACCTTAATCATTAATTACATTATTCCAACCTTCTAAATAAATATAGTATTTTTTTAATCAAACTTAAATCTAATAAAATGTATCAAGTTGATTTTTTGTTGTACAAAATGAAACTTATTATTTTTGAAATAAAATAAATAAATAATCTTTCAATTGTCTTAGACGAAATTTCCGCATGTTGAAAGCTGTTACTCCAACGATCGAAAACCATCCCAATAAGCATTTTCAATTCCCCATGCAATATTTCCAATAATATTTAAAACAACTATTCCAAAGTCTATATAAAATATAATATGGCCTATATTAGATTTCTACAATAATTTATATCCAAAATTTGTGAACGTCAAAACTGCCAGAACCTATTAAATTTTAATTATTTCAATACTCCTAAAGCATAAAAAAAGAATTGTTCACCTACAACCAAACTTTTACTCTAAGATTCACCAACAAGAAAATTTGTAAATACTTAAATACAAATTAAAAAATAACAATAATTAGCTGTTGCACCAGCCACTGCTGCAATCAATTTAAATTAAACCATAGTTACTACCATTGTTAATCCAGCTGCCATTCCTACAAAACCAGCAACGAATCCAGTTAAAAATCCTGCTACGTACACCAAGAAAAATCTCCTTATAGGTGTGAAATAACGTTCACGAGGATAAAAATTAACTGTATTTTTTAACAATTCTCTTTTTCTCATAAAAAAATAAACTGAACCTGTTATCAAAAAGTTAACGACGGTCAACAAAAGAACCATATAAAAATTCCAAGGTTCACAAGGACCTTTATCTTTATAATTATCATCTAGAACTCCATCAGGAAAGAAATATGGAGAATATTGATAGGGTGAAGATTTTAACAATAATAAAAGCTAATAAACAAAATTTATTATTACCTCATTTATTGAAAAGTTACCTAAAGTTATCAAAATAGGTACTAAGGGAAATCTTTAACATTGTTCAGCATAAAGTTATTTATATAGTTTGGCTTAACTATCAGTATATTCATTTTGATTTTAGAGCTGCTGTTAAGAAATAGTAAGAAGGGCTGATTCTTTTATCATATTACTGTTCTCATTCTTTATATCTTCTAATTCATTCTATCTTCGTCCATAATATATTAAAATAGGAGAGATTGCTAAATAAAATAGAATTTAAAATGAAAGTAATGGTAACAATGGTAGAAAGTTTGATAGATCACTACCTAAACACAAACCAATTGGAATAGCTAAAGTATAAATAATTGCTATGTCATAATTAATAACTGGTCGTTCTGGTACGTCAGGATGACTATTTTTCTTAATCTGCAAAATTACTTCTAGAGAAAAATAAACACCATATTCACTATTTAAGCACTAATCATTAGGCAAGCAGTAATATCTCCTGCTAAACTTGCATCAAAATTCAAAATAGCTTAAAGGAACGGACGTTTTACAATTCCTCCTAAAATCAGCTCTATATTATCATTACCTCCCAAAGCCCCTAAACTTGCTATTCCTATTACTGGAACAATCAATATATAAATAAAAATTGTCATAAAATTTGGCTCTAGAATTTTGATACGGCAACATCCTGTTGTTTCGATAAATTTTTCATTAAGCACTGTTAAACATTTGTTGTATTAACCACATTCATTTAGAGAGCATCCTAAACCTCCATTAAACAAATTGAATTAAGGATCCGAACAAGAAAGCGGTAGATTCATTAAAAATAAATTAATTATAGAATCATCTCCTACATAATTTTTACTTTAATTCAAATAATTTTTACATCATAAATAATATTATTTCTTAAATATATTATAACTAAAAAATCATATAAATAATTATTTAAAAAGATAAATAAATAAATCGCTCTCCTTATAATGCTTGATCAAATTTCTTAATAGATTTTGTCTTAGTATATTTACAAGCATTAAATTCAGGAATTTTAGATCTAAACTTATACCCATCTTAGTTTAAGAAAATTTTAGTATGTATATTATACTTTAAATTTGAATATTTATTTCAAAATCCTTAGAGAAATTATAGAAATAGAAAAAAATAATTTTTTTAGTCCACTAAAACTAAAACTTAGTCTTTGTTAAATTAGCCATTTTTTTTTAGTAATTTTGTCTTTTAATAGAGAAAAAAATATGCATTTTTTCCGATTAATAGTAACTAAAACTTTTGTTTTTTGTTATTTACTTAAATCTAATTTATATTTTCTTAAATTCAAAAATAATTTGCAAAAAATTCATAAATAATTTGGAAATTACTCCAAAAAAATATTTCCTCAATTCCAGAATATTAAATTTTTATATAGGTTTGAATTTCTGTAAATTTTGTTTATATACTTAAGGTTTTTGAATTAATTTAATTAGAAAGCATTAGGTTTTTTATAACTCGTATATATTATTCCTTAAATAATGAAGCTAAAGAATATGAAAAAGTATATAAATTGTTATTTTTCAATTTAGAGCTGGTTACCAGTATTTTAATGGGATCATTAAATCTAATTTAATAAATAATATGACTAATTATGTTTTTTATTTTTTCTTAAAATTGATGTAGTAAGGATATTAATAAAAGACTTAATAATAAATTATTTATTTAATAAAAGGATAGGATTAGGCTTAAATTCTTTCTTTCTTTAAAAACTATTTTAATTATTTAAATTTGTTTTCACAAAAACAAAGGTTATTTAACTTTCAAATATACTTATTAGTGATTATTTATTTAGCTCATTTTGATTTTTATTAATTTAAAATTTTATTCATAGGTTAAGGATTGTCAATTTTTTTAATGATATAAAGTTCATTTGAAATTTGTTTGATTTTCTTCTATTAGATAGGTTTTAAAGATGAAAGAAATAAGAATAAAAGCTGTATCCACTATTGGAAAAACTTTAAAAATTGATTGCATTTATAAAATGATAATTAATATAATTATAAATTAATGGCTGAAGATTAAGATATATGGGAGAGCCTTTTTGATTATTTAAATAAAGCACAAGACCAAGGCACAAATAATAATGCTGAGATAATTTCATATTCTAAAGGAATACCTGATGTAGCTATTGATCCATTATCAATTGGTGAACAATATCCTAGAGTAGAGATAGCAACTAAAATGTCAGATGGAATGTATATTTAAAATGAATATTTAGAATTCCATCATCTTATAAAATTTAATCATAGAAAATGGTTAAATTTCAAGAATTTAGAGATGAATTAATAGATGAGATTGATGAATTTTATTAAGAAGATTAACTTGAAGACATACGTCAAATATATCTTTAATCTAATTTATAATAAAAGGATTATGAATTCACTAATATTTTGCCATTTATGTAAGATGAATAAGCATTAAATCCTGGAATAGAAACTGTGCTTTATACTAATCATGATATGTTTAGTTGGGAAATTGAGAGTGTTAGTTCTGCTTATCTTCATACTGATCTAAAATCTTTTAGCACAACAAATGTCATTAATAGAGGCCAATTAATTAAAGATAAAAGGGGACCAGAAAAGGTAGAACTTGGTGATAAATTACTTTCATTAGATAAATTAGAATAATAAATAAAAGTTTAAGCAGATACCATATTTGATTAAAGTGAACAAATAAGAAAAGAAAGAGATATTAGAAAATAAGAAAGGATTGCTGAATATTAATAAAGGATTGAATATCTTGATGATAAATTTGTTAAGGATCAAATTTAATCAATTTTACATGTCTTCCCTAATTAAACTGATCCTAAATTTAATACTATTTGGTCACTTTTTATTGATGAATAAAAAGAAGAAGAATAACCACTTTAATAATAAAAACCTAAATAAATAGAAACTTTAGAAGATTTAGAATTCTAAGAAAATGCAATAGTTTCTGAATCTGATATTTAAATGCTTTCTACTCTAACTGAATTATAAAGACAGGCTAGAGAGACTGCTAAAATCAACAATATTGCTAATGATGCAGATGATGATGAAATTAAAGAGGAATGGAATACTATTGTAAAAGCATAATAAATTGTAGATTTTAATTAGATTGACAATGAACCTACATTTATTGATTAAATGTATTATGCTGAGAAGGCATAACCAGAAATCTAAGAATAAGATCCTGAAATAAGAAAATAAATTTAAGATGCTTTATAAGTGAAATCTAAATTTAGAATAATTAAAGTTTAAGACATAATTAATAATTCTAATAAACTAATTTAAGATAGAGATTTTAAATTTGCTGTTGAAGATGAAACAGATATGTCAAATTTTTATGATTAATTGCCAAAAGCTAAAATGGCTAAATAGTTTCATTTTGAATTAGATGATTTTTAAAAGAGATCAATATTACATCTTGAGAAAAAAGAATCAGTATTTGTATGTGCTCACACTTCTGCAGGTAAGACTGTTATTGCAGAATATGCAATAGCATTAGCATTTAAACATAATAGAAGAGCTTTATATACCTCACCTATTAAGGCTTTAAGTAATCAGAAATTTAGAGAATTTGATCAGAAATTCGGTAATACAGGTGTAGTAACAGGAGATGTTTCTATTAATCCAGGAGTATTATATTGAATTAATTTAGGCACCTTGTTTGATTTTAACAACAGAAATATTAAGAAATATGTTATATAGAGGAGCAGAATTAATTCGAGACATTGAATGGGTTATTTTTGATGAAGTTCATTATGTTAATGATTAGGAAAGAGGTATGGTATGGGAAGAAACTATAATTATGTTACCTTAACATATTGGTATTATTATGTTATCTGCGACTGTTCCTAATTATATGGACTTTGCTAATTGGGTAGGAAGAACAAGAAAATAAAAAGTATATGTTATGAAAACATTTACAAGACCTGTTCCTTTAGAACATCATATATTCCTGTTTGATAAATTTCATACTATAAAAGAAAGAGATGGTGATTTTTTAGCATAAGAATATAACAGTTTAAAAGTAAATAATTTAAAAATAGTATTAATAGAAAAAAATCAAAGAAATTGAAGATGAAAAAAAAGGATTAAAAGAAAGAATTAAAAAAAATATGGATGAAAAAAAAGAAGATGAACTTTATAAAAATACAAATAAATCTATGAGACAAAAATTGACTCAAAAATAGATCAAATCTAAATTTATATAAAACATATCAGCTGCAAATATGAAATAAAAAGATGAAAAGAGAGCCATGACTTAATTAATTCGATTATGTGAAAAAAAAGATTTATTACCTTGTGTTATTTTTGTGTTTTCTAGAAAAAAGATAAATGAATTAGCTGATTCAATAACTAAATAAAATAGTTTAAAATTAATTGATCATAAAACAGAAGCTCGAATTATAGGATTTTTTGATTAAGCTTTACTTAAATTAAAATCTTAAGATAGATAATCTCCATAATTAATAAGATTAAGAGAACTATTAAGATTTGGTATTGCAATACATCATGGACATTTATTACCAATAGCTAAAGAAATAGTTGAAATTCTATTTTCAGAAGGATTGATAAAAGTTTTATTTGCAACTGAAACTTTTGCCATGGGAATCAATATGCCTACTAAAACTGTCATATTTCATACAGTTGAAAAGTTTGATGGATCTAATACTAAGAGAATGTTACATTCTAGTGAATATACTTAAATGAGTGGAAGAGCTGGAAGAAGAGGAATTGATGAAAAAGGAAATGTTATAATTTACATTAAAGATGCATAAAGTTTACCTGATGAACTTAGAATGAAACAAATGGTTGATTCTAAAGGATTATAATTAGATAGTAAATTTAAAATCACTTATAGCATAATCTTAAATTTATTAACTAGTAAAGATATTGATGCTACTGAAATGATGAAGAGATCATTTCATGAAAATTATAGATTTGTATAATTACCAAAACAAATGCTAAGTTTAGAAAGACTCAAAAAAGAATATATCAATACTTCCTTAGTACAATGTCCTTATTAAAAAGGATTAAGATCAGGAGTATCAAAGTCTTTAATTGAAGAATATGTTGAAATCTAAAAAAATTATCGATTTTCTTAGATTGCATTTATTTAATCAGCAATTACTCAAAGTAAGACCAATATCACTTTTCCCAGATTTGTTTTATTCTCTGATCATTTTGGTGAAATTAGTTTAGGAGTTGCACTCTCTTAAGATTTCTTAAATGACGATATATATGATTAAAACTATATTCTTAGACCTTCAGAAATAAGTATTCTATTAATTAATAATAGCTTAATTAAATTTTAGTGTTTTAACAATCCATTCTGGAAATGAAGATGAAAAACAGCAAAGAAGATATAAAAAAATTTTCTTATAATATTAAACATCATTCTTGGAAAAAAAGAGAGAAAAACAAAGAAACAATTAACTTAAATCTAACCGAGAATTTTATTACATTATAAATAATGTAACAGAGGAAAGTATTATAGACTTTTTAGATGACTAAGTAAAAGCATCTAATAAAACAAACTTTTAAAATATTGAAGTTTATTATGAAGATTATGCTACTTAATTGTTAGAGAAATAGTAATAATTCTAAGATATGAAGTAAATGTTACAATACATATATTCTCCTTAATAATAAAATAATAATAAAAAACGATAGGCTGTTCTAACTAAATTTAAATATAAATTTAAATCAATAAAATAATAGAATGATGAAGACAATATGGAATAGTTCAAATTCAGGGAGCAATAGTTAAATGAATTGATAAATTAATAATGCTAATTTTGTGATTTAAAAGAAAAACATCTATAATAATTGTAATTGAAAGAAAAATTAAAGAATGATATGCTTGATATTAAAAAGAAGATATAAGGAAATGATACATAAAGTTAGAGTGATTTCAATAATAAATTAAATGCATTAAAATTATTAGGTTATGTAGATTAAGCAGGATTACCTCTTATAAAAGCTAGAATCGCAAGAGAATTAATGGATTAGAGTTCCATTTATATTTGTGAAGTACTTGTAGATAATATAATGGAAACTCTTAAACCAAGTGAAATTGCTGCATTGATGTCAGCTTTTGTTTGCCAAGACAGAAGAAAGTTTGAAGAAGAATTTGATGAAAGTAATATTGAAGTTATGCTTCATAAAAAATTTGATGAGATTTCACTTGAATTAAGTGGAGCCATTATTGCTACTTACATTTTGATTAAAAAGACAATTGAAGAAGAAAGTAAATTTTATATTTAACCATTAAGTGAAGATGGATGCAGTAGACACAAAAGATTCTTATGAATAAATCAGAAATGTACTTAATTTTAATTTAACATAAGTGTAAACATCAATTTTTTATTTTTAGAATTTATTTATGGGCTTAAGGCTAATCATTTGTAGATGTTTGTTTATAAACTGATATAGAAGAAGGATCTATTGTTAGAACTATTTAAAGATTGGAAAATATGCTTAGAGGAGTAATCAATGCCTTTAGAGTTATGGGAAATTTAAAAATGGTGGACAAAGTTGAAAAAGCTTGTTAATTAATTAAAAAAGACATAGTTTTTGCTGAAAGTCTTTATTTCGACTCCAATGCAAAAATAAAAGAGAAAAATTGAGACATATATAATAAATAGTATTTTAAAATAAACTTCATTTTATCAGGGATGTGTTTATGAATGAATAAGATGATGGTATTCCTTAGCCTTTTGCTTGGTTCAGATTTATAGCTATAATCTTAATTAAATATTACAACTAGACTTTATTGGCTTATGAAATAAATAATTAAAGTCTTTTCCAATTAATTTCTATTACAAATCTTTTCTTTCCTCCTCTTTCCGATTCAGAGCTTTCAATTAAAAATATATAGTTACGTAATTTGAGAAGAGCAGCTAATTGATTTGTATTAAATAATTAAACTTGAGTTGTATATGGTTTATGATAATAACTTTTCGAACTATTTATAAGAAAAGCAGTTTATTATTAGGATAATGAAGTATCACTTGATTTTATTGGAGATCCATTACTATTAGTTTACTTTTGGTTTTTTTTTTGTTGATCTTCTTAACTATTAATCATATCTTTGCTTAATTCAACTGTTGTTTTGGATCTTTTATTCTAACTTGAAATATGATGATCATAACGATTTAATTATCTCTCCTAGAGCATTAATGATAACAAATTTTAGATTTTTTAAATTTCACTTTGTTATTTCTGCATCTATTATCTTATTTAAATGTTTTCTTTTTTATACTCTTCATTTTCATATTTCAATTATTCTAATTCTTCTTTTGTTTTATTAAAATTGTCTGAATTTTTAATAATTTATTACTTTGAATTTCTTTGATTTCATTTGCTTAATTTTCAAATTTTATTTCCATTTATTGAAGTTTTTCCTTCATGTTCCTCAAATTTTCTTATGTTTCTTCTTCTCCTGAACACAAAGGATTACCAATATTCGAATCTACATACTAAACAGATATTTTGTATTATTATGATTCTAATTATTAAGAAGTTAAAAAGGATCCTAACTAACTTTTCTTATTTCTTTGATTAGAAGATTCTTAAATAGCATTAATTATACATGAATTTTAGATAAGCTTATTTATTACTATAGACTTTTCATTGTTATCTTCCTCTGTTAGCATTGGGTTTTATGAACATTCGAATTCACAATCTGATTCTTCTTAACGTATCAATTATTCTTATTCTGAATTCGAGACATGGCTATTACTTAAAGGATTATTAATTTGAGAATCAGAGTCGTTCATACAAAATTACAAAATTTTATTGAAAGTAAAATATTATTTTTCAATAATATAGTCTTATCATTATGTTTATTTTTAATTTTTTGTACATATCAACTAATTTATGTCAACTTTTAAATAATTACATACAGTTTATAAGTAAATAATTATTTAAAACTTTTTGATGAAATAAACAATAAAATAACTCACTCTTCGATATGAAATTCAATCAAATCATCCAGTTTTAATTTGTTTGTATTATATTCTCTAAGATCGTGATATTTAACTGCTTCAATTAAGTAATCTAATAAATATTTTAATTCTTAATCATTTTAATCTTAATGCCATTCCAAGATAGGAATACCATTTTCAATTTAAAATCCAAATGAATGAGCTAAATTGTCTACAATAAGAATATCTTTCAATTCTTTATTTCCTATTAGTCTTAAGTCTTTAATAAAGAAACCATTTTTTGTTTCCATACAATTATTTCTAGTCATAATACCAGAAATATATTATTTGGTTGGATCTAAATAATTTATGATTGCTGATGCATAAGCTTAAGATGAAGCTGTATATATGTATATAGTGTAATATTAAGATAACTACTACAAGAACAGCGTTGTATATGGGCGAATATTAACCCCAATCTAATAATTATTTATTAAATTACTTTAGCCTCTTCTCCATAATCTCCAACGGCTGTTACATACACTTGAGGATTTTCTCTTGGAGCACAAGAATGAATTAAGGTTTCATCAAGATCAAGTACTAAAGTTTTGTCTTTTTTGGGATTAGCCTCTGAAAGTTGAATTTTTTTAGATTAAATGAATTTATCAGATGGTCCTTTAAGACATTTTCGAGCATAAATAAGACCTCTCTAAGTTAATATTAAATGTTTTTTAAATGTTTATTCGTTGACATTTGGACCGAAAATAAGATGTCGAAAAGGATGATTACTCAACTTATCTTTAGATTGATTCTTTTTGGTTTGTTCATTATCAGAATTAACATTTAGATTTTACATGGAGACAGCTTATCTAAAATAGATTTAAATGTGAATACTTTGTTTTGCTTAGCTTTACATTATGTTGGGGCTATTAACTCAATTTTTATTATATCCTTTAAGCTTGTTCTTCGATATTGTAATTTCCTTCTTGTTATTAAACTTATACTGGTTATTGTTTTTTATCTTGGTCACTAAAATCTGGTTCTTATTCTACATCCCCTTCAACTTTCTTAGTATTGACAAGATTGCTGAATCTTGACATCTTAGGAGCTAAATAAAATTAAGTAGTACCTTAAGATTATTTAGTTTATGGTTTTTAGTTTTTTGGAGTACCTTGATCAGAATCATCAGTTTGATATCCATTTTGAATAGGTGCTTTTGCTTTAGGCTTTATATTAGTTTTAGGAGTATTATCTTTAGATTTTGTAGTTTCTCCTTCTTCTTCACTGTAAAATTGAAGCTTTTGTTCTTGATTTATGACCTACTTGATGTGACCAACCTAATTTTTGGCTTTAAAACTGTAAACCTTATCCATCCTATAATTGTTAATATATTTAATAATAAAAAAGCTCAAATTCTTCCTTTTTATTTAAGAGCAGGTAATTTAGGTTGGCTTTCAGATTTATGTTTTAATTTATAGATTGTTGAATTTGGTTGAGGTATTTCTTTATCTTCTGTATAACCCCATTTTGGACTTTGTAATTTGGAATCAAATTCATTCAAAGCTTTATGTAATTTACTAGCTTTAAGATTTTAAGGCTTTTTCATATCATCATCTAAATGTTTAGAAAACGTTACAATTCTTATAAGCATTAATTCTATCAAATTAAGATTTTAATTTCTTGGGACTAACCTTTTCTTTTTATTTATTATGTTTTTTAGAATGTTTTTTGCTTTCATAAATGCTCTTTGCATTTGCTGAATCTGCTGAAGAGGATCGATAAGATTTTTTGATTTCTTCATCTTCCATCATCCATTTAAAATGCTATTCATTTTAAATCTTAATATTTCTATCGCCTTCATGATTAATAGCATCATATAATTTTTATTCATATGTATCCATATCTTCAACAACTCCATCTTCTTAATCTTCAAATTATTTTTTGTTTTTTTATTATAATCCAAAAACCAAAGTTTAATAATCTTTCTTACTCATTCTATCAGGAATTTTATATTCCCCTCCTTCTTTTATATATCCATTATCAAAAATAATATTTGTACCTAATTTAGACTAAAATAATTATTAAAATAAACCTTCATAGCTTCAATTAAAGGTGGCTATTTTGGATATTCAACAGCTGCTGCTTTTTCTAATTTTCTATTATCTTCTTCTCCTTTTGCAAATGCTTCTTTAACTGGTTTAATTTCAGGTTACGAATTTACCTCTTTCATTACTTTCTATGGCTAATTAGTTTTTGTATCTGGCTATAGTATTTCATTTATCTATAAATCTATTGGCCTATTTATTTTATATATATATACTTTGTTGTAAGAAAAACAACTTAACCATCATAATCAAATGTATATTATTTGTTTTTTAATTATTTCAACTGTTCTTTCTTTTTCTCCTCTTATTCAATTTAATCTTCCTTTATTTTACGCATTCTTTCGTTCTCTTTCTATTTGTCTAATTCTTAATATTCTCTCTATTCACGAAGTCTTTCTATTATTGCATCTGGAGTAGGAGGTTTTTTAGTTTCTGGCATTTTTATTAAATTTGGTTTATATTCTTCTTAGATGGTTGATTAAAGTGTTGTTGTCATTTATTGAGAAGAACCACCCAATTTATTTATAAGTTTCATTTTGCTTACAGAATTTTAAAACTTCATTATTGAACCTCTAGAAAATCTAGAAGATTAACTTCTTTAAGATCTAGCATCATCAAATGTTTCTTATCCTGTTGATGGCTATTATATTTTTATCATTTTCACTCCCTTTGCAGTCATATTGTCAATCGTTTTAAAATGCTACAAATTTTATATAATTATCTACAGGTTCATCTTCATCGATCCATTTATTCAAAATTGCATATTTAGATTCACCATGATCAAATGGCTTTTATTTTTATTTATTTTACATACTAAGAATTCCTATTATACAACTCCACACTGCCAATTAGCTATCACTCCACAATTATATCCAGGTTCTTTCTCACTTAAGTAATGTTCATAAAGATTTTATCCACACTTTGTTATTAAATAATCAACTGTTGGATTTATTATCTCTACAGTCTCAAAATTTTGCATTTATTGTTAAAGTATTTAATATATTTTATAATAATTTTATAATACTCCTTCCTAAAGTCTTTATTGTTTTACTCATTTTATTATTATTATTATTATTATTCAAATTCAAATTCTTACCTTTGTTTGAAATAAAATAATATTTTCTGTCATCTATTTTATGCTAATAAAAAAAAAAGTTATAATTTTAAAAATCAAATTCTTCTATGATAATATTTGTTTTATAGAATTCTAGTTCTCTAATATATTACCATTTACTTAATTTGAATTAATATTATTTCAATTGATTCATCAAAAATAATTGGAAACTTGAAATATTTCAAAAATTATAATTATGAATGTTATTTTGATTAATAGAAATTTATCATTTAAATTTAGAGTACAAACAAATAAAGTAAAAAAAAATACTTTTCTCATAAATCAAATATAATGATTTATGTTTGTTATTATCTCAAAATGAAGTTTTCTAATATCGCGATAATTTAATTAAATTATTACAATCATTTAGAATTTTCTATTCGAAATTTAATTTTTTAATATTCTATTTCTTTTAAGAAATTCTGTAATTTTTTTTATCTATTAANTCTAATTCTTAATATTCTCTCTATTCACGAAGTCTTTCTATTATTGCATCTGGAGTAGGAGGTTTTTTAGTTTCTGGCATTTTTATTAAATTTGGTTTATATTCTTCTTAGATGGTTGATTAAAGTGTTGTTGTCATTTATTGAGAAGAACCACCCAATTTATTTATAAGTTTCATTTTGCTTACAGAATTTTAAAACTTCATTATTGAACCTCTAGAAAATCTAGAAGATTAACTTCTTTAAGATCTAGCATCATCAAATGTTTCTTATCCTGTTGATGGCTATTATATTTTTATCATTTTCACTCCCTTTGCAGTCATATTGTCAATCGTTTTAAAATGCTACAAATTTTATATAATTATCTACAGGTTCATCTTCATCGATCCATTTATTCAAAATTGCATATTTAGATTCACCATGATCAAATGGCTTTTATTTTTATTTATTTTACATACTAAGAATTCCTATTATACAACTCCACACTGCCAATTAGCTATCACTCCACAATTATATCCAGGTTCTTTCTCACTTAAGTAATGTTCATAAAGATTTTATCCACACTTTGTTATTAAATAATCAACTGTTGGATTTATTATCTCTACAGTCTCAAAATTTTGCATTTATTGTTAAAGTATTTAATATATTTTATAATAATTTTATAATACTCCTTCCTAAAGTCTTTATTGTTTTACTCATTTTATTATTATTATTATTATTATTCAAATTCAAATTCTTACCTTTGTTTGAAATAAAATAATATTTTCTGTCATCTATTTTATGCTAATAAAAAAAAAAGTTATAATTTTAAAAATCAAATTCTTCTATGATAATATTTGTTTTATAGAATTCTAGTTCTCTAATATATTACCATTTACTTAATTTGAATTAATATTATTTCAATTGATTCATCAAAAATAATTGGAAACTTGAAATATTTCAAAAATTATAATTATGAATGTTATTTTGATTAATAGAAATTTATCATTTAAATTTAGAGTACAAACAAATAAAGTAAAAAAAAATACTTTTCTCATAAATCAAATATAATGATTTATGTTTGTTATTATCTCAAAATGAAGTTTTCTAATATCGCGATAATTTAATTAAATTATTACAATCATTTAGAATTTTCTATTCGAAATTTAATTTTTTAATATTCTATTTCTTTTAAGAAATTCTGTAATTTTTTTTATCTATTAAAATTTGGTTATAAAATGGAAATTAAGTGATTTTATTTAAATATAAGTATTTTGCTTATTTTTAGATTTATGAATAATAGAATGATTAATTTTGATTCAAATTAATAAGATGATTTTTGTTAGATTGTCATAAACTTTATATTTTATTTCTCATAATAGGCTTAGATCAAACAAATAAATTAGAAAATACTTTTCTTTATAAGAATGATAACCACTTATGAGATTTATGAGTTAAATGATTTTGAATTTACCATTGTTGATTATTTTTAGGTTTAAATTCACTTAATTATAAAAATATTATATATATTATGCTAATCTCAGTATATAAAGATTTAGTAGTAACTAAATATTTGATTAATTATATTTTAAATCTCATTTAGATATCAAATGTCAGTATCGTAGGAACAAAAGATTTCTTCTACCTAAACTCTTAAGGATGATTAAAATCTCCAGTGCCAAATATAAAATTTTATAAGGAAAAAAGATTTTAAATCGGTTATAAGAATTTTACATACTAACAAAAAGTCAAGGTTAGGGCATTATCCTTTACTTTAGAATAAATTATTAAAAGCTGAAATATGAAAACTAAATATATCATGTTGGTCAAAATTTATGTATTAGAGGTGATAATAGATCTGTATATGTGGCCAAACTCATTAAGATTGTGAAACTATTGGATAATTAAAATAATTGCATACCATTTATAAAAGTATAGTGGTTTACTAGGAAAACTGAATTGATGGATTTATAAAAGGATTACTTAGATTGTATATCTGAAAATGAAGTTTTTAAGACTAATTAATTCGATTATATAGAAATTGAAAGAATAATAGGATTAGCAATCATTTTAAGTTATGAAGAGTACGATCATATCGAAGAACTAAATGATAATATATTTTTTATGAGAGCCTCATATATTGATGGAAAGTTATTTCCTTCTTTTGATTAATGGAAAAAGATTTGTGTCTGTTAAAGACCTGCAAATCCAGATTTGAAGTATTCATATTATATTATATAGGTATATATTATGCGAGATGTGCCAGTAATGGTTTCATTTGAAATGTATAGGACTTCATTAAGATTAAGCTAAAAAATTGAATAAATATATATGTTCATAATGTTAAAACTGAAATTTAGTTGGGATTTTATATAATATGATTATTCAATTGACTGATCTGTTAAATAATAATATTGAATATCTTAATTCATTTTCTAAATTTTTATAATTATAATGAGGTTTTATCTCTTCCTTTTAATATTCCTTATATACATCTTTGCAAGTATAGTACTATAAATTGATTAAACCTTCTATCACTATAAAAATTATAATTATTTGAAGTGCTCTGTAAGGGAATTAATCTTTTTCCTCTAAATCATCAAATTTGCTTTTAAAAAGAAATTTAATATATTCAAAAAAATTGAATTTATCAATGTCAATCAAAACCTCATTATCATCTGGCCATTTTTTCAAATTGATTAAGTATTCCTTTCTATAATTTGCAAGCTGAGATAATGTAAACTATATACTTTTTAGAAATGCGGCTCTTATAATATTGACTCATATTTTGGGTCAATAGATTTTAACTTTTATATAGATTTATGATATGAATATGGATCCTATAGATTTTATCCATAATTGTCTATTTTTAATTTCTTTTTTGTAAAATTCTAAAGTACTTTTTTGAACATAATTATTTATAAATAAATAATATTTCTAATAATAATTCATTAAAAGTCTAAAATATTTATAAATAATTTGTTATTCAATGGTGTTATATTGAAAACCTAAATCATAAATAAAACTGCTTAAAACACAAGGATAATAAATCTCACAATTAAAAATACCATAACCCTTTTGATTTACGCGATAAATTTTTAAAATATATGTTTTTTATAAAATATGATTTAATCTCTATAAAAAATAAGGAAGATAATAATTTTCATATCAAAAGTTGAAAAACAAAAACAAAAATGATTAAAATATCAATGCGTTTGGAATCACTCTTCCATTTAGTTCATCAAATCTCTTCGACCCTGTAATTTTGCATACTTCAGTTAACAAATTTGCTTTTATAATTAATATCTTAGTCTACTTTATCATTTATACTCCATTTATTATTATTGTATTTCTTGAAAAATTTCAATACGATTTCAGGGGAAATAAAATTCACAAATGCATAACCTAAATTTCCTTCATTCTTTTTTGATTAATTAATAATTACATTATTATCAGAGGGGAGATAAAGAAAATCAAATTAAGACTTGAAGTCCTTATTTAAAAGGTTTCTTAAATCACTTGGTCTCATGTATTTAGGTATATTTTTTAACATTAGGGTAGTTCTGTCATCATAAACGATCTGAACTAAGGAATTAATATATACATTCTCTTCAATAATATCAAGGTTGTAATAAAATGTATTCATTTTTTAATACAATAGTTTTTCATCACAATTGAATAAATACTTAATTTCAATGAGTTCTTAAATAAGCAATTTTAGGTTGAATACACTTCCTTCATCCGGCATAAACAGTTTAAAGTCTCATGATAAGAATCTGATACCAAATGCACATAAAGAAGCTTCAAACTTTTCGTCTTAACTCAACAATGGTCTAGGTATTTATAATGTAGATATATATTTGGATTCAAAGGAGGAATCACTTGAACTTCCAGGTGAAGCTGTTGTATTTGCTTAAGATGCTCTTCCTTTTTATGGTGTTGAACTGAGTGCAATGTCTATAATATCATAAATCATTATTAAATATAAATAAATACAAAGACATACATTTTTTTTTGGTTTAACTCTTAAACATAATATTTAATAACTTAATAATTTTTTCCTTTTGAAAAATTAGACCTTTAGAACTGAGATGAACGTTGAAAATGTTATGAATTTTAAATTTTAATTTAAGTAAGATGCTAAAAAGAAAACTTATATTTTTATTCATAACTTTTAGAAAAATAACTTAGTATATGGTATATCATATTTTTAATTTATTTAGAAGATTAAAAAGTATTTTTCATAAGTAGGAGTAGATATTTCTTTTTTCTCTAAAAATAGACAAAATAGTGTTTAATTGAATTATTAATATTTCATATTAAATAAATGAGTTTTTTATAGTAGAATTGTTTAAATGATTGAAGATTTAATTTAGTATCACTCATATTTTTAAACATGTCAATTGATTTTTTTTTTTATAAAAGCAATTTTGAGAGAGTTATCATTTACTTATTTATTTTTGTAGTTTAAATGCATAATCTTTGACCTAATTATGTTTAAAAACTTATTTTAGATTTTTAAAGAATCATAAAAAATAAATATATCAAAAAAATATGGTCTTAAATATTAAGAGTATAAGAAGTAATTATGTTATGTGTTATTATATTATTTTATATGAAATTGTACAAACATACTTGATCATGATTTGAAATGATCCTTAATTTTTGAGGAGAGTTCATCACAAGTTTTTTTGGCATCACCTAATAACATATTGTTATTTGGTTTGTAGAAAACTGGATTATCAATAGCAGCATATCCAACACCCATTGATCTCTTCATAACAATTGATTATTTAGCAGACCAAACTCTCAAGACAGGCATTCCTAAAAAATAAATATAAAATTATACCTGCAATTGGTGAATTAGGATTTTCTTCAGCAGCAGAATTGACAGTGTCATTAGCTCCAATAACAACAGCAAGATCAGTATCAGGGAAATCATCGTTAATTTCATCCATTTCAAAAACTATATCATAAGGAATACCAGCTTCAGCTAATAAAACATTCAATTATCCAGGCATTCTACCAGCAACTGGATGAATACCAAATCTTACTTTGATTCCTTAATCAATAAGAGTCTTGCACATTTCAGCAACTGGATATTATGCTTTAGCAACAGCCAAACCATATCCTGGTACAATAATGATTGATTTACTATTAACCATCATTTCAACAGCTTATTCAACATTTATTTCAGTATGTGTTCCTTCTACTTTTGTAGCTTAAATAGCTGCTGGATTAACATCGAATCCTCCAAAAATAACACTTGTCAAATTTCTATTCATAGCTTTACACATAATATATGAGAGAATAGCACCTGATGATCCAACTAATGCTCCAACTATTGTTAATAATGGATTATCTAACATAAAACCTTCAGCACATAATGCCCAACCTGAATATGAATTCAATACTGTAATTACAACTGGCATATCAGCTCCACCAATAGCATTTGTTAATGTAACTCCTAAAACTTTACTAGCAGCAGTAGCTGTTAATAATGCTGTCATTCCAACAGCAAAACTACCTGTTTGATTGTATACTAATAAAGAAGCAACCGAAAGTGCTGCCAATGCAATATTGACTTAATTGTGATAAGGAACAACAGTTGGATTAGAAGGCAAGAGATTTTACAATTTAGCAAATGCAATAAGTGAACCAGTAAATGTAATACCACCAGTGAAAATACCAAAGAATATTGATAATTTATGAACAAGGGCAGCAGGATCTTCAGCCAAATGAGGGAATACATGTAAATAGTTACCAATTGATGTTAAAACAGCTGCCAAACCAACAAAGGAATGGAAACATGCAACTAATTAAGGTAAATCAGTAATAGCAACTCTTGTAGCAACAGTACCACCAATAGTAGCTCCTAACATTACCATAGATGCCCATTAAGCTAATAATTCTGGAGAAAATCCTTTATATCCTAAAGTTGCAGCAACACCTAATCCAACTCCCAAACATCCAAAACTATTACCAATTCTAGCTGTTTATTGTTATGCTAATCCTCCAATAGCTAAGATACAAGCAATTGAAGATGCTAAATAAGATAGATTTGTCAATGGTTCTTTAGGAATTCCGTAATAGAGTCCACCATAATATCCAAGTACTCCTGTTGCTCCTGCTAATGCCATCAAATAATTATATTCAGGAGGATCAGTTGGTCTTCTAAACATATTTAACATTCTTTATGTGACTAAGAAGCCTCCTGAAATATTCAATGATGCAATTGCAACAGAAATAGCTGCTAATAATCCAGTTAAAGATCCTGGCATATATTTTCCATCCATCAATTCCATGCCTCCAACTATAATTATACCAGATACTGCATTTGTGACTGACATTAATGGTGAATGTAAGGCTGGAGTAACACCCCAAACTACTTAATAACCTACTATTCCTGCCAAAGCAAATGTGTTCAACATTTTTAAGAATTCCATATTTGGAGATTGATAACCTAAAGCCATCATTGCCATAAGATATGCTGATGTATTTATTACATTCTTCCAAGCTTATTTATATGGATCTACTTTAACTTCTTGTTTTTTATGTGAAGCAGCTTTTGATGTATCAGGTTATTATAGTTCGCTTTTAGATGTAATAATAGGAGGAGGTGGCCATTTAAGTTCTCCATTTAATGTAACTAATGATTATCTAACAACATCATCATTCAAATCAACTTATGTAATATTTCCATTAGGATCTTTGATAGTTCCTACAATATACTACATTAATTTTCCAATATTATTAGCATAAAGAGTTGAACTTTAAGTAGGTAATCTACTTGGTAAATCTGTATAACCAATGATTTTAACTTTTCCTTAATGATTATATAATTCTCCTGGTTTACATAATTCACAATTTCCTCCAGTTTCAGCAGCTAAATCAACAATGATTGATCCTTATTTCATATTTTCAACTAATTCTTTTGATAATAATTT